TAGCACAAATCAGAAAAACTGCATTCTGGCAAATTTGTTTGGGTAATTTGAATATGGGTCCCTAAACTATCCTAATTGCTCTACTTTTTCCAAAGTTCTCTATATTTTCATATATATGTAGATTATGAATTGGTTTATTAAGAAAACACTTTGAAAGTCTATTCAGTATTATCATACCTTGAAAAAATATTTATCACCAGGTTGATTATATTTTATAATAATTTGTCAGTGGTATGTCTGTTTGATGAGAGCAAATTTCTTGAGGATAGATATGGTAAGACTTTAATATTGCTTTTACTTTGTAATAAATTCTTACTGCTTTAACAAAATAAATGAGTACAATCACCTCATTGCCAAAGATTATATACCGGCTCCCTATATCTGGAGTCAGTCTCATAGCTACCATAGCTCCTTAGAATATGCATGTACATTTATACACATATGCATGCATATTCCTTGTTTCTCAGAGCAATACATTTAATAGATAAGAAACTCACAGAGTATATACAGCCCAAGGCCATTGGCATACAAAGTGATCAAGTCAAGTTGTAAAGCTCTCTGGTTAAATCTCATGCCCTTTCCACCACAACACTTCAATCTCATCTTCCACACTGGTGAGCCTGCCAGTGTAAGCACATTTCAAGTCTTGTTCCTCTTTTCAAGTCCAATTTCATCTCATTCACTCATCTCCAGGATAGACAAATTGCTCCAGCATAACATTTAGGTAATACCCCTCTACTTATACTTGTGCAAAACCATCTTCAGGGTATCATGTTAAAATGCAGATTACAATTCAGTAAATTTGAGATAATGTCTAAAGTTCTGCATACTAGTTCTGTTCCTAGATAGGATACTACTTGTCTAGGTCCACATTCTATATCTGAATATGAAAGTAACAGATCTTTTTGTTATGGACCTTTGAACCTTGTCTTTTTACTTCTCTTCTTCCTAATTCCACTAAAAGTACCAACTTTCTTTCAATACCTTTCTTTTTCCCACCTCATTCTGACTTTTATTAAATCCCAGTAACATTATTATCCACTACGGTAGATAATTATTGTATAGCTCATCTACTCAGATAAGAGCTCTCTTCCTTTTTCACATCCTTTTATTCAATTCAAGGAAGAACCTACAACTACACAAATAATCTGTGGGAAGCTATGTCCTACTGTGTGTTCCACACAATGAACTGAATAAGATGTCAGTGTTTGTTCTCTGGTACTTAGAATTGGATTGGCAAGAACAATTTAATCTCATTCTTCAGAAGGCCTATATATCATTTAAAATTCAACCAAAGACCATATTTTCTGACTGTGTAAGAGTGAGAAGAAGCTAGCCTGAATGATGGGAACAACAACACAAGAGCAAAAGCAGACCTGAGAATCACAAAGATGAGAATTCCAGGGAAGATGCCAGGAAAATGACACAGCCTTCTGTTCTGGGTGACAGTCTCCAAAGCATGCCTATATTGGAAGCCCTTGGCTTTATGAAAAACCAACTGTTCTGTTTTCCTTTACACAAATTCCATGGCTGTAGTTACTTACAATCCATCTAATCTAAACAGGATTTGCATATGCATATTGCCAATATGACTGTGATGATGTCTGCTGATTGAATCTCAAGTATAGTAGTCATTGTCATGGTAGGAAACAGTGAAAGGAAAACTGGATGAAGAGCCAAACACACTTTTCAAATGTAAGTCTTCAGATTTTCTGAATACTTTGTGCTTGCTCCTTTTAAGTGGAGGTTCCTGGACACATGGTTAGCCTATGGCACCATCATTTCTTTGGTTGAGAATCTTATTGAAAGAAAATTAGTTTTCATTCCTGCAGAGCCTCGGCTGCTCTCCAACTGACTATCTAGCCTGGGCAAGCTGAAGAAAATGCTAAAATTATAGGTGTGCACTAATGCACCCACCTCCAGGAATCTAAATTTTAAATGTTTCCAAATGATGCCTAAGATTTTTGTTTCGTAAAACATGGACATCTTTCTGATTCAGTATCAAAGTCTTACCAGCTGAACACATTTGCTCTGATAGTTATACTCAACTCATTTCAAGGGGACTGGGGGTGAGGGTAGACTGACTTTTTTCTCTGCCTGACTAATAACCATGCTCAAATTGTGACTAGTTAAAATGCTTGAAGACTTTTCAGATTCTTATCAGAAAATTAAAACTTAAAAGTATTTGTAAAGACCTTCAGAGATGGTGTCACAACTAATTTCTCAGGCTCTGTCTTCTAGCTGTTGTCAAGTCCAGTGATGAAGTCCAATTACCATTGCCTGAGTAAAAGAGGTCTCCCATATGATCCTCTCATGCTGTGCTACAATTTAACCTGCTTCCTCATATTCTGACCTCAGGGGCTGTGCAAACAGCTTTCATGCCTTTCAGCTCTCTTTTAGTCTTAGAAGCAGAATGACAAATTAAGCTTCATGCATCTGAAGAGGTCTCTGTAAACACTAATTTGTAGTGATTATTCCAACATAATTAGGTGTTTCAAAGTAATGTGGGTTTTCTTTCTTCCATTTTCTTCACTGGCATCCAGTTACAGTCTATTCAAATGTCTATAAAAATTCCTAAGAAAAATTTTCCCTAAGTGTTGCTCTGAAATACTGTGTAGAGGCCTTAATCCTATTATCACAGATGAGTCCAACACTTAAATATCTCCTTCATGGCTGTTAAGGCCCAGTAGAGTCAATTCACACCCGGGGAGCTTTAATCACAGATCATCATCGTCATGATAAACGACGAAGACTCAGTGTGGGCTATCATGTCCCTGGCTAAGGCTACTAGGGGAGTTGTTAATGGGAGAATTGCCAGCATGCAGTTCATAATAACTATTCCAAAAGAGCTCTCCTGATCTAATGGCTAAATTAGGATCATTAGAGTAGCTTTACATGTAGCATTTCTTAAGTCCATATTAAAAAGAGACTAATCATTTTTCCCCCAGTGGATGCAACTGGGATTGTGTGACTGTTGCAAATCTTATCGTCAAGGGTTTAAGGTTACACCGGTAGAGAGTGCATTAGCAGCCGACTATCCATCGCCTCTATCCCATTTTTATGTTTTTGTGACTCATTACATCACTCACAATCACAAATAAAGCATTAGAGGAGAGGCATGAAGAAACTATCATACAGCCAAATAATAAGAATCATAATAATGACACTATGAAGACTGAAGTAGTGAAAGATTTCTGGTTAGTGAAAATTGATACTTCACTAGGAGTTTTCTGTGCTGCCCCGGGTGGTATTCATCATTTGCCTTGTTTTCTCTGCTAAAACTCAATTTGCATCCTCAAGCCCCAAACTAGATGCTACAAAAATGACTTTAAAGTCTACTGTATAATTTACAAAGAGCCATTATGATCTGAAGAAAGTACAGGGGAAAATAAGAAGCAGAACATGTAAGCAAAGAAGACAGCCCACAATCCAATCTGAATTTCTTAGAGTTGAAAATTTTTCAAGCATTTTCCTGAGTGCTTGAAGCATAATGAAGAAAAAATATTTTAATATGAAAAAAGAGAAAAGAAACAAAAGCAATATTTGTTCATTGGCTAGTGGATAAAGATGATGAAATATGCAAATTGAAAGGTATAAGAATGGAAATGAATGGGTACAGTCATACATTTAGCATATCAAGGCAAAGTGATTAATAATAAAATTTAGAGACATGAGGAAGTTAGGACTTCATGCAGATATTCAGAAGACTCCTCTAAGCCATGCTGTTCATAGCCTCTTATTAGCACTTCTACATATATTTGCTACTCTTTGATCCAAGTTGGCCTATTACAGGTTCCTCTTGCAATTAGATAGAAATATTTCCCTAGGGATTAAAAGATCCTCTTGTGCACATTCCCCATTTAATGTTGATATAACATAGATCAAAAAAGATAAGAGGGAGAGTGGCATTTTAAGATTCTGATCAAATAAATCTGGAAAAATAATTTATAATAGATTATGAGAAGCTCAAGCACCCCACAACATTCTATGGTTTGGAAACATTTTTAGTGATACGTTGAAATCTTATACTAAAAGAATATTGACTTACATGAATTGTGACAAGTTGGTTACCAATAATCAATTAATTGCTTTTACTATTGCTTCCTTTCACTGTGGAATTCCAGATATATACAGTTTCTCAGCTGTTTGCTTCATACATACACACACACACACACACACACATACACAGAAGTTTTTATCTTCATGAAGAATTCACATGGCATTGTTAAGGATTCTGGTATTTTATGATTTCCAGTTTACCATTGCTTCAGAAATAGGTAAATTTCTGGTATTGCATTAATAATATATGCATTGGTTTTTTTAGAATAAGTGGTAAAACCATGTATTTGAGCTCAGTACCTTAAAATATACATTAGTACTCTTTTAGAATGAGTGGTAAAACCATGTATTTGTGCTCAATAATAAATAGAGTTTTGGGGCTATGGAAAACAGAAAATTGAGAAATTTTCTTTCATTGAGGATTCATACCATGAATCAATTATTTGGCAGCTATTGTATATACTGGGCAGCTTATCAATTTGATATATAAGATAAACCTAAAACCCCAAAGAATAAATTAATCTCCCTAACAAATATAAAATAGCATTTTTAAAATGTAACTGCTATATCAATGGTATAAGAAAACCAAACTTTTCATTTATCATTTTTTTTTGCCAGTCCTGGGACTTGAACTCAGGGCCTGTGCACTGTCCCTGAGCTTCTTTTTCTCAAGGCTAGTGCTCTATTACTTGAGCCACAGCACTACTTCCAGCTTTTTCTGTTTATGTGGTACTGAGGAATTGAACCCAGGGCTTCATGAATGCTAGGTAAGCACTCTACCACTAAACCCCTTCCCAGATCTTATTTATCATTTTTCTGATAGGGTTCTGCATTATATTTAAATGAAAATACATGGGTGTTGTTACTTTTCAAGAATGTGGTCACGAAGCAGAGGAAGGCAACATTTGAAAGTACTGTTTAGCATAAACCCTGTTGCATACCTCATATTCTTGGGAAAACTTCAAGTTGTCATTTGCTTTCAACCTTTCAATGTGATCTGCAAGTTCCAAGATAGGTATTGGAGGATGACTAGCCATACCTATTAAAAAAGAAGGAAAGAAGAAATACATTTGAAAACACTTGAAAATTATGTTAACTTTCCAAAATACAGAAAATGCTGTAGTTAGAAATGGCCTGAAAACATGTGAGTAGTAAAGATGTTTTAGATGAAGAAGCAGGCAGATAGTTTGGTTACTCAAAGCAGGACATGCTCTGGAAGAATGGAGTTTGTAGCTAAATAGAAAAGTCACCAAGAATAATCCCCAAACTAGCACTCCTAGCATAAAAGAAAGTGTTATTGTGCTATGAATCAATGAGGTTAGCTAGCAGAGAAAACCGACAGTCAGTCTTGATGTCAACTTCTGCTTTGAGTAATGACTGTTATGTCATTTCAAACTCCTTTTCCTGCACTGTGTGAAATGGAAATTGTGTGGAATTAAATGGTGTAAAAGTGAACTAAGAAAATAGACACAGACAGAGGCCTAGAAGAGGAAGAGGAGCAGCTTGATAGGAAACATAAAGTGACTTATGCATAATCAAGGAAAACTAACTTGAAGAATGAAGGTTACCAGGGTAACCGGAATCATCTGAACCTGCAAAGGAAATGATGGTGTAAATAAAATAAAATAAAACAAAATTGTCTCTTTAAAAAAATGAAATGGATAGCCCAGTATACTTTTGAAAAATAACAAAAAAGGCTTCAAGTTTTTGCAGGATTCACCATACATTGTGACTACATTAAGATTGCTTTAATATTTCACAAACCTGTAAGTGACTGACATTCACATGCAAACATAGACACAAAGGATGACATGCACCACAGAACACTGATGATAATCACAGACTGCAAACCAGACACCAAACTGAACCTCAAAAATGTTTCCACTAGTAGCAGATTGTAGAGGATGGGGTTAGAGCCTTCCTCCTGGACATCCGTAAATGGTCACACTAACATGTTGATGGTATTTTGTCACAAGTCTCATTATCAAAGCCCCAGAAAGCCTACAATCTACTTCAGTTGTAAACATCTTTGTCCACTAATGAAAAATGAGTTCAGAAAAATGAACACATGGTAGAAGGACCAGAAGAGAAAAAGTAAAGATAGAAAAAGAAAGAAAGCAGGACAGGGGCTGACACATCTTAGTTCAGTCTGCCAGCTGAACACATATCAATTTCAGGGATTTTGTTAAAGATACTCTGCTGTTAATTTTGGCAAATCTTACGTCTTCCTGATGTTCATATGCTTTGCATTTTGTTTCATTCTGATTAATTTTGCACGAGTGTCAAGAAGAGTATCTGCTGACTTAGATCTTGGAGACACACATTCCAGCTGGCTAGAGAAACCTGAACTAGCATGCCCCCAGGGAAGCCTCCTGAGGGAGGAACTCAAACTGGAAGCCACATCGACATTCTACTGTCACTGTGATCCTTTGGAGGGTTTTGGCTTGGGGAATGATAAGGTTTAAGTCAATATGACATGTGATTACGTTATAACCATCTTAGAAATGGTGCCATTACTTTAAGTCACCCAGTAAGCCCCCTTATCTCTACTGCCAAATTACCAATGGTTCTGGTAAATTAAATAAAAAGCCACTTCACTTTTTTCAAGACTACCATTTAGCATAGTGCTGTGAATTACGGCAAGCTAAGCACTTATGGCTATGCAAGTCTGCTGCCAGTCAGCTAAAATCTTAGTGGAGATCCAATAAAAAATGAGTTGGTTAGAAATAGAAACTCTTTATTGGTGATAAAATTATGCATTTGGGCTGAAAATTTGGAGCCCTTTCTGAAACTTTTGTGTATAGATAGTAGCATTGAACTCATTTCCATTCTGTGGAGAAAGTGGGTGGGTGTGACAGTGATCTGATAATTGAAGTGATCTTCTCCAGATGAGGCACTCCCCAGTGAAAAGAAAGGAAATACTAAGGCACAAGAGACTGGAGGCTTATCTGAAAATGGAAATGGACTGATGTGGACAACATTACAGTGCTTTAACAGAAAAAATAACAGAGACAAAGATGTTTAGACCTTTTCGAGCGAATCGTGGGAGAGAGTTATTATCATATATGGACTGAGTGGTGGTTTGGCTAGAGAGGGAGGACACAGAGCCAATCAGGGAGGCGTAGGGGACTGAATTACTGCTCAAAGCTGCAAAAAGTAAAGCCAGTTGGAGATGGGAAAAGTATTAGTATAACAGCAGTAGAAGACCATAATAAACAACGAAATGCGATCAAGGTATTTACTTTGGGCATGCACTGGCACATGGTTTGGAAGTATTATTTTGGAAGCTAATAAAAGAGAAATCCAGGCAAATCTGGGCTGAAACTTTCTACACGCAAATATAAATAGATTTATCACATGTAAAGGTATAGTATTATAAAATCATCATTGAAGACTTCCAGTACTGAGTTAAAAACACCAGTACTGAAAAAAAAATGTCAATATGCAGAACATGGTGCTAAATTTGTGGGACGAGTAAAAATGGCATAACAGATGTTTCAGAGAAAAGTGGTGAACTCATGGGAATCAAATGGGACAAAGGAGGAATCCAGGCCCAGAGCACTACACTTGCATTGTACTTCTGGTTCTGCCATCTATTAATAGAAACAAGTCTCTTCCTGTCAAACACCTCAATTTCTTTGTCTACAAGATAAAAATGGAAGACTAGGTAAGCTTTGGGGTGCTGCCCTTCATGGCTTTCCTTTCTGACTGCTATGGATAGCATTTCTGAATAGAGGAGAGTCATAGTTATGGCCCATAGTAGGGGTTCTAAAAGTTATCCCAACTTTTCTTTGATAGCATAAATAGAAAACTATCATGCTTTTGAACTATCTCCTTTATTTAATTTTCTCTAGCTAGCTTAACTTATATACAATAGATTATGATGTAATGCCACAGAGTTGGAAAACACTGGCTATCAATATAAAAATTATGCTAAATAGAGCTGGGAAGGTGGCTCAGTGGTAGAGTGTTTGCCTCCAATGAATAAGGCCCTGGGTTCAATTCTTCATGGGCAGAAAAAGCCCATGGCACTGTGGCTCAAGTGGCAGAGAGCTAGTTTTGAGCTGAAGAGCTTAGGGGACAGCATTCAGGCCCAGAGTTCAAGCCTCATGATGAAAAAAAAAAAAGCTAAATAATAAACCTGGGTGAAAACTACTCTAAACAGAAACATTTTACTTCAAATCAGAAAACCATCACTGAGGATTTACTTTAAAATAATCCAGAATCTTCTACACTGCCAAATGTTGAAACCATTTTATATAGTATAAACACATTTATGGTATTCTGAATGAAACAGTAGACACAAAGTAAACTAAAAGTACTGAAGTAATCCCTCTATACTATCTTTACAGTCTTTTGTCTGGCAACTCCTTCACTGGCTCAAATTTTTCCTCTATTCTTTTAATTAGAACAGTATTTTCACATTGGAATCAGAGATACTTTAAAATTCCTTTTTGCAGGCTACACATCAGACCAGTTAATCCTGAGACTCTAGATCTTGAAGCCAGATGTGGATATTTGTAAAAAAATTTCCTATCAATCATCTTTGGTCCAATAGGAATGCCTGATGGGGCCTTAGGAGGTGTGAAACTCAGTTTAATACTTTTGTCACTTCAAAAGCATAATGTCAGGATTTATGAAAATGAGATGAGCTTCCTCCTGGTACCATCGTTATATTACCTGTGACTATCAGTTAGCAAGCCTTAGTACTTTTTCCCTATGATTAGTGGCAAAATATTTGAAACATTGCTAACAACTGAATAGTCAGCTGCCAGTGTAATGAACTCATCAATTCAATACTACCAATATATGATACACAAGCACTTTTAAGGTACACATTGAAATGGAGCCCTGTGCCTATTGAAGCTAGGGTATCCACAATACACAGTATTGTGATGAGAAATGACAGGTGGAGTTAAGGGAATCTGCCTTCTGTTCAAAGAAAAAACATGACTGCTACAGGGTACATAGTTGTAATGATAATGTCACATAAAATAAAACTTGAATGGGATTTTAAGTTAATTTTATATGTTTTATACAAGGACTGTGAAATCCAGAAAAGTGAAATGAGTTGCTTAGTTCTGGTAATAAATAACAAAAATATTAACATGATGTTATACTCTACTAATATGTGATTATTTCACACATCTTAAACTTTGTATTTAATACCAATAGGCACTTGGTTTAGTTTGGTAGTTAAACAAATACTCCTTTTGAGGTCACGAAGAATGAGGGGACATAATGTAAATGGATTTTTCCTTCATAATACATGTATGTTTATAATGTTTCCATAAGATTCTCCTTATGGTATTGTTTTCTAGTAACTGTGATAAATGATGGGAAAAGTATGTGGTCAAAGGCCAAATAGAAACTAATTTGTTTATCAAATCAATGATCACAGCCTTTAAAGATGGACTTTACTTAATAATCATGGAGAATATTGAGATAATTAACTCAATTTACACAATTTACAATAGCCTGCACAAAGTGTTTATAATTGGTTTCAAAAACTAATGATAAGTTAGACATAAAGAAAACATTGACTTAGAGATATGATTGCCTCTTGGTAAAACAATAAGGACAATTTGACTTAATCTGGGGGGGGTGACATCATCACTAAGTGACATATTCTCTAAGAGTGGCTTTCTCAGTTAAGAACCAAATTGCAGAATTAAAGTTGTTATATAGGATTTCTTAATATGTAGAATTTAAGAAAATCATGTCTGTTATTTCCCAAATTTACCATTTCGACTCAATGAGGCAAGGTTTTCACAGTACAAAATGTCAAAGAACAGGTCAGGTACTCTTCACCTACATTGTGTGCCTGCATTTTCTATGGAATAAATGAAATACGAAGAAGAAAGTATAGAGAAAATAGATCTTGTTAGCATGGACCCAATTAATAGCACCAGTGGATCAGAAGAAATGCTTCCAGAGTTTTCAAAGCCCGTATGACTGCTGTGCAGACACTTCTGCTGCTGATACCACAATTTCTGATACGTTAACTTTTTATGAGTTTGGTTTTGTTTTTCACAGCCCATCAATCATCTACCATCCATGTATGCTTTGGGGCAAAACACATTAAGGTCATCTAGAGAATTGAAAATGAGGCCTTTATGTGGAGACATCTGATCATCAATTTTTAATCTCCTTTTGGAAAATGTGCAAGCAGAAGAGTTCATTATGTTTTGATTGGGGATAATTTTGGGGGGAAGTGGGAGTAGGGGCAAGAGATGGTGTCAGGTTTTACATGCCGGCAACGGGGAGAGATGAGGTGAATGGACCACTGGATGTTACTTGTTTTACCTTCTTTTATACCTTTCTTTTTACTGGAAAGAAAGCATGTCTCTCTTAAACACTGAATTTCTAAATTTGGCTTTTTGAGAGAAAGGCGAAAATGAACAATTATCTGTAATTCATTGTCTTTGTTGTATCATGGTGTGTTGTTTTTTTGTGTGTGTGCTAGGGCTTTAACTTAGGTCTTCATGCTCTTTTGGGTTCTTCGTTCAAGGTTGCCACTAACTCACACCTCCACTTGCAGCTTTTTGTTGGTTAATTGGAGATTAAAAGTCTGTAAAATTTGTCCATCTAAGCTGGCTTCGAACCAAGATTTTCAGATTGCAGCCTCCTTTGTAATTAGGAGTAAGGCATAAACTACTAATGCCAAGCTATCATCTTTTGACAATATCACATTTATTTGAGTCATTTTTGATCTTATTAGTAAAGAATTGTGACAGCATTAAAAAAAACACCTGTAATTAGTACTGTCTACCTAAATAGTATCTACCTAAATGTCCTTACCCAAAGACCTGCTACCCCATTTCTAGATGCCTGACCTGCAGAAATAGGACCAATGGTATGAAAAGATGGGTTTTCTATGGCTTATTATGATGTAATCTGAATCAGCAAGGCTCGGGAAAGACCTTCACCCTCTACTACTAGGGGATGATACAGTATGTGTAGAAATCTACACAGTATAGTATCATCTGTTGAAAGAAAGATAAGACAATATATTGACTTGTCCAAAAGTTGATTTTTATATTTAAAAGTTACAGCAGCAAATTGTGTGTGCATCTATGTTTACCTACCTAATGGACATTCTATCAGTTAAAGAACCATGTACACAAATGGAAAAGTCTGGAAGAATATGCATGAAGGATATCCTAGATGATGTAATTGGAACAAAAGTAGAGTTTTTTTTAATTTTACATATGTTAAGAAAAAGAAAAAAGTATAGAACGATTATTATTATTTTCACATTTTTCTGCTTCTCCCAAATTATCATTATGTAAACACTCAAATAAATACAAATTTTAAAAATACCTGTTTACCATATTTTATATATGATTAATAAGCTTGTTTTACATATTTCAACATCATCTTCTAAAACATGAGGTTTTTTTTTAAAGACAAGGCAGATGAGGAAGGGTATTCAAATAAGTTGGAATTTAATATATGTGTTGCTGAAGCGAACACTCAAATAAGTTGGAATTTAAAAAGAGAGAACTAAACCTTTTCTAATCCAGAATAATGGACACATTTCATTTTTAACTAATATAATATCATAATATCTATCTGCTAACCCTCTCTAATATCTACCCTGTTTCTGCTGGGCACAAAAACATTAGCCACTTGAGTAAATATGTCTTTCCTTCTTGCACAGATTAGAAAGATCTGTAAAATTTAACAATAGTTAGTAATTCTAATAAACTTCTCTATTACCTCTCTTCTCCGCTATTTACTTTGCCTAATTTATTCCATTATTCGAGATTAGAAGCCAAATCATGAGTATACGGTACCTTCCTATGTATTAAAGTTTCCCTGTTAGTTTTGTAAAGTTATTGGTGATACCAGAAATACTGTTGCCTGTTCTACCTTAGTTCTGACTGGCCCTCTATAGCAAAAATAAATATATTGATTGACCTTTTGGTGTAAACCATTACTCATTGAAAAGATTAGGTAGCTTTGTTTATTCTCAAATACAACTTGGTTGCCCAATTCTATTTAAATTTTTATAAGATCTCCTCTCATTGCTTATTTCAGAGCAAGATGCCTAAAAGGTGCACTCAGAGGGTGTCTCAACACAAGGTATGGTACACTGGAAGGAAGACTCAATGTTCCACCAACATACACATGTATATTATAAATTTATCAGCCTTTTAAAAAGCACCTGGAAGCTTTTGGTTACAGAAACTGTGTTCTTCCTCCTTTTATGTTCATCAGGCAAAAGTTTATAGTCTAACTTCATACAAAATGAAATAAAAAATTTAAAAGATACACATTTTTATAGCCACTTTGAAAATATTAAACATTATGAGTTATTATGAAACATCTCTAATTAAAAAGAGAAAATATGCTGTAGATGGGAATTCACTGTAATTTTTTTCATTTTAAAAATACACTAAAATATAAAGTTCAATAAATTTATAGTGTATTATCCTGGGTGTTAGGACATTTATTGGGCATAAATTTTTCAACAATTCTACAACCAAACTGGATTCCGAAAGACTTCCTCAGGCTGATCTTTACCTTGCTTATGACCAACAGATACTAAGACAGTGCCTCTTAGGTTTACATTTTCAGCTCCATGATTAACCTTTGCATTTTACTGGACATTAACAAAATTTTGTTGAAAGAATGTTCAGTACATCTACACTTGAGTGAAATAGATTATAAAATGTTCCTCATCAGAACGTGTTGTCTTCTGTTGAAGCACTTAATGTTATTAAACAAGTACATGGTTTCCACATCTCAGTTTCTTCATATGTCTATCTAATAAGAAATCTAAATTGGTCAGTGAGAGTGAGTATAGGTAATATTTTCATTACCTAATACCTTACCTCTTTGCTTCCTTCCCACCCTTCCATTTTTCCTTCTACTACTTTCTCCCTCATTCTTTCTCTTCCTCCTATTTCTCTCTTCCCTTGTTCCTTCTGTCCTTTCCTCCACTCTCCCCCTTTTCTTGCTTCCCTCTCTCCCTTCCTTATCACTCTTTCTTTCTGAGCATCACAAACATAAACAAATAGAAAATGTAGAACAAACCTATGCTTCTTCAATGACATAGATGGTGTATACATTTACGATTTTAATCATGCATTCATTTTATAAGATGAGAAACTGAAATCTTCCCAGGTTGGTGTCACTAAAAATAATAACTGGTATATATATTAAGCATATAAAATAGTAGATATTCTTATAACACATAGAGCTCTTTCACAATTAAAAAAGTACATTTATTTTCCTGTACCACTTCAGAGTTGCTCAAAGTATGCAATTTCTTTTCTGCTTTGTGCTAAGTGATCCTCCACAATATTAAAATAAAAGAGCAAGATGAAGAAAATGGTTCAAAACAAAATGATATAGTCATCTATAAGGTCAATATCAATTTGGGCTGTTAGACTTTCCATGAAGAGTTTATTAAGGCTTTGGCGGACTATGCCTCTTACCTGGTGTTTGAAAGTTAAGGCGCCTCAGTTCTACTGGGTCTGTTGGATGGTGTGAAGGGACCTCCTTACTGTTCGGTATGCTGCTTTTTCTAGACTCGGATTCTGCCCTTTTCCTATAGGGAGAAAATTAAAATTGAAGAATTGAAATGTATCTCTTGGAAAATGGAGAGAGTTACACCACCTCAAATTCTGTTTTAAAACTTTAACTGGCTAATTTGTGATCGTGTTCAAGGTTGCTTTGCCTTTGCTGCCCCACAGTTTCAGTGGATGATCTAAAAGTCTTCCTTTAGCTCCCAGATTAAACTATTCACTGTCTCAAGGCTTCACAATCTTAGGAGGTGTTGTTAATATATATTCATGTCTTTGTTCGGCAGGTCTCTATTTTCTACTACTTCTATTTATGAGGTATAAGAGAGCGGGCCTCTAGTAATCAGTGCTAATATTGATTTTATTGCTGAGAAACTACAGGCCTCAATCTTACAAACTTAGTTTGTTTCATTTTCTTCCTTTAATTACAAACAACTGGTAGTTACAAAATGGAGATATACTCAATATGCTCATGAGGAGAACTGGGACCATGTAAGACCAATGTTGTTGCTCTTTTTCAAGAAGGAAAAATAATAGTGTTGACTGTTTACAGTTATATTGAGCTAACTATGATGGATGAAACTGAACCACAGAAAGATCAGAAAAAAAAGGTTTCATCCCATGGGCAGCCCAACTCTTCTCATGATTACTCAAGATACAACTAAAAGGTTTTGTGAGAAATACGAGTCTTCACCTAATTTATCTTATCTTTGTTTTAAAAGCTGATTTTATCATATATACATACTTAAGCTTTACAATATAACTTTAACCCATTTCTAGGTCAAGATCTGTTAGATATATTCAAGAGATTTCTTTGTGCATTTCCTTTCAAACCCAAATAACTATCTTCTCAAATGAAGATTTAGATTAAAATGTGCACTTAACAAATGAAATTCTTTTTCGGATAGTTTTTTTTTCCCCTCCCATATACTGATCCCAGTTATCTCTATGCTGGACTTACGATCCTTGCACCTTATCCCTGCTCAAAACAAAAACATTTTTATTACAGGAGGAAGTGCTGCCAAGCTTCTCTCTTTCTCTTTTCCATCTGATGGTGGTACAGCTCATTAGTGCTGCTGTGACAATGGACACCCATGCAATGCCAAGCAGGTCATTTTATGTTTAGCCAGATCATTCCTGTTCCATAGCCTTTCATTCCATCTCTGATCATCTGTATGGAATCAAACTAACCAAGGGAAGAAGGGAAGGTTGATGCAAAGGGGATATGCACTTGATTTTCTCTAGTCCAGTGTCTTTGAAAAAAACATCTCAAAGAAGTGAATTTTCTTGAGTGAATCCTATTAGACACTGTGCTTTCTGAGTATCTTGGATTAACTTGGCTGCTTAGGATTTCCTTTTTTCCTAAAGGTGTCAGGTACAGCCTTAGGATAGAATGTACTCATCATCTCTATGGCCAAAATCCAAGTCAATCTTTGTTTTTGAAATATGCTAAAGTTACCAGCAACTTCATTTATATGAATTGAAAAATGACAAAGAAAGAAGGGATGGAGGATATATGAGAAAGAGATGAGAAGGAAGCTGGGGGGGGGGCGCTCAGAAGATCAGACAGAAGAACATGATGATTATTTTCAAAGTAGTAAACGTTCCTGCAATCATACTACAGAATTTGCCTCACCACAATGAGAGATTCACTTTACCACTGAAAATGCAAAAATGAACTAGATAATGAAATGTCACTGAGTGCAGTTAGCCAATCAATCTCATATGAAACCTAGGGTTGGTCTTCATTCTCTGAATATATACTAGTACCGTTAGGCACTGGCCTTTTTATGTAATATGGCACAGGCACACACTACTGATGCACCAGACCCAGTGAATACAACCTGAACTTTCTCTCCTCAATGGCTCTCCTGTCATTCGCACAAGATTATGGAAACAAGAATTACACATATCTGGGCAAGGAAATTGCTTCACTCTTAAGGGTACTATTAAAAAAACAACCCCCTTATCTTCATTTTCCCAGAGGCCAAGTTTGAGTGACACTGAGCTGGAGGCGCAGAAAAGAACACATTTAAAAATTTAGCCAACTTCTGTACCAGAAAAGTTGGAAATCATGTCTTGTTGTCAAGATGTGAGTGTCAGAAAACACAGGGTATGGGATTAAAGTTATTTACAATTCACGTTTATAATAAACTGGAAGAAGGAGGGCTCTGGACATCTGATAACTATTTTCTCTCTGATGTAATTAAATGATAGCCAAAACCTTGGATTCCACAAATCCTTATCCAGCCAGGAAAATAAGCTTTATATATTTATTAGTTTGTTTTGATGATGAAAACATAGATAGTTCTGGCTAATCATATTAGTACTACATTATTTTGAGAAACTCATGTATCACATTTTTTTGTCTAACATAAGAAGGATTTCTAAGAGAAGATGATGTATTGGTCATCGTTGGTAATAAAAGTAAAAAGTTTTCAGAAATTGAATTTTTGCTCATAAAATATCAAAAGGCATGCACTAATCTAATCAGGTCCAACATGAATGTAGGCAGTCACATTTTCTTAGTGAGTATTCAAAAGACTCATCATATTCATTTTCAATTTAAAAAATGAAAGAATAGTGACTAGACATTAAATTTGTCTTATTATTTAAGTTAGAACTATAAAACCCTAGTGAAATTTTACTTCTTAGAACTCAATCATGTACAAGAATCAATGTGCTATGGAGGAAATGGAAAATCATATGACATGTCAGATCTGTGAGAAGCTGCATATAATATAAACTTTGTTGTTGGCAATGGAGGAAGTGTTCAAGAAAAATGGTACTTCCTGTCAAAGCGGTGCTTTACTTTTATTTCATCTGGCTCTCAGGAGGGACACCAGGGAAGATTACATTCATGGTTTTACAACAAGGGCATGTGGACATTTGCAATCAGTATTTTGAAAGAAATCTCTAGTATGATTATTTGAAGAAATAGTTTGAAATTTTGAATCACTGTGACACTACTAAGAATGTACTACTCTTAAGCCTGGTAACACCAGTATTGGGTATCTGTCAATTGCAAACATTCTTGATAACTTCTTAATTTACATATTAGAGGAATAAGCACTCTTGGTCCAATTTTCTCATCTTAATAGCAGTACAAGAGGTGATTAACTGTAAAAAAAAAAAACATGGACAGTAGCCAGACACCATTGGTTTAGGTCTGTAATCCTAGCTACTCAGGAGGCTGAGATCTGAGGATTATGGTTCAAAGTCAACTCAGGCAGGGAAGTTAGTGAGACTCTTAATCTCCAAGAAACTACTCAGAAAATGTTGGAAGTGGCACTGTAGCTCAAGTGGTAGAGCCCTAGCCTTGAGCACAAATAGGCCTAGGGACAAGACCCAGACCTGGAGGTTAAGCATCAGGACCACACACACAAAATAGTGGACAGTGTTACAAAGGAAGTTAGATCTCTGAGTACATTCATGGGTTCAACATTTTAAAATTTGGCCAGAGAGGAAGAAGACTACTTTGTATGTTATTTTCTGCAGGGTTAATGGCAATTACCAGTGTGTACAAAAGAAAGGAACCTCACATGTGTAATGTGTTTCTAGTACTCAATGTGTGGCTGTCAAACTATAGAAAGTAATTATAGAGAAAAACAGTTCAGTTCCCCTCAGACCTAGACCTGCATGAGAATCATCTGGCAGGGCTTGTGAAATACAAGCTGCTAGTTCAGTGTCTAGAGTTTCTGTTTGGATTCTAGTGTGACTCAAGAAGTTGTATTTCTGTTAACTTTCCAGGGGACATGTATACCATTATTGTTTGTCAGGTACTACTCACCAAGCTCAAAAGACAGAAAATAACATGAGCTAATTATCCAATAACCACACAGGACATTCTGCCTATTCTTCTCGTTATTACTCAGGGATGGAAGATAATGGAGAATCATTTTGAATTAAGTAAGAGTTTTCACAAAGCTCATCGGTATTTGTAGAAAACGAAATGCTAACGTTAGTGTCTCAAGAGGTGATCTGTGATCAGTCTTCCAAAGTGACTAATGGTTTAAAAAAAACAAACAAAACAGAACAAAAAAACCAAAAAGGCTTATACGACACCTTACATTTCTTCTATGCAGACACATTAACACATAGATACTCATTTAACTTTGACCACTAACAAAACTCAGAAGCTAGTTTTGGTCATCTTCAAATTTGGTTTTTATTAAATTCTTTTCTTATATAGTATAGTTGTTTTTCAGAATCTTCTTAGTATCAAACTTAATGCCTACAAGAAGGCTTTATCCATCTTCCATGTGGCAAGTAACATTTTTCATACATGGCCCCACCCTCACCTTTTCAATAACTCCAAAGGCTACCAGTATCTTAGTGTTTTTCTTACTGAGAATTGAAGGGATTTTTCCTTCTATTCCTCACCTGTCAGGTTTACTGCTCCATTTTAATGCAGCAAAAAAAGGAAAAAGAAAGGCTAAATGTTAGTTGGCCAATGGTAACAAGAGTAACCATGACAACCAAGATTTAAAAAATAGCGCTCACAAGCAAAGACACATAACTGACAAACATTAGGAAATGACACCATATTAAAATATATTTTAAGGCCTTGAATACTGGTAAACACAAGTTTACATGGATGAATAAAGAATCAGTATATCTGTGTGTATGTGTGTGTGTGTGTTTGTGTGTGTCAATGTGTTAGTGTTACAATTTTAGGATTATATACTATATTAATTCATCACCTACAAAATAGTGATATGATTATATGCTAAAGGTGTGTAACGATAGACACAATTTGATTTTTACATAACATGCCACGAGAAAACTACTAATGTACTTAATGAAAATACAATGGTATTTCATAAAAGCCATTCAGCCATTTGACATGAAAATTCTTCTGTTAAGTGGTATGTTATCCCTTTAATGACATAAAATATCTGCAAATTACATTGAACTGTACAAAAAGTCTGCATAACAGGGTAATACACGATATTGAAATGAAGTGGCAGAAATGATTTCTTCAAACACCTCTTGATAAGTAAGGCAATCATAAATCACTTTTTTC